TGCGGCACGGCGGCTTGCACACGGCCTTGCCGCCCTCCCACGCCAGCTCCCCATCCGGGTCTGTGCATGTGCAGTCGCCAGTCTCCCCGTCGTGCACGACCCCGTGCTCCATGTGGCAGGGCGGCTTGCAGATCGGCTTGCCCTTCACCCACGTCACCAGCCAGCCGGGCTCTTCGCACGCGCAGTCCCCGGATTTTGCTTCCCGGATCAGCCCATACTCCGCTCGACACGGCGGCATGCACACGCCTTTTCCGTCGATTGCCGTCACTTCCGCGTGTGGATCCTTGCACGTGCAGTCGCCCGTTTCGGCGTGGTGGACCAGACCGTGCTCTGCTCGGCATGGCGGCTTGCAGACTGGCCTTCCAAGGACCCACGTGAGGTCCCATCCCCGCATGCTGCAGCCACAATGGTCCGATTCTGCGTCGTACAGCAACCCGTACTCCGTCCGGCAGGGTGGCTTGCACACTTCTTTGCCCTTCACCAGCGTCAATGTGGCCTCCGGGTCCTTGCACTTGCAGTCGCCGGTCTCCCCGTCGTGGACCAGCCCGTGTTCCATGTGGCATGGTGGCTTGCACACCGGCTTCCCCTGCACCCACGTCAGCTGCCAGCCGTGCACTAAGCACGCGCAGTTGCTCGTCTTCTCATCGTAAGCCAAGCCGTAATTCGCATCGCATGGCGGCTCGCACACCGCCTTGCCGTTGATGTACTTCAGGCTTCCGCTGGCGTCCTTGCACTTACAGTCGCCGGTGTGGGAGTCGTGCACAACGCCGTCTTCAACATGGCAGGGTGGCTTGCATATGCCCTTACCCTGCACCCACGTTATCTGATAGTATTTTTCGCGGCACACACAGTTGCCTGTCTTCTTGTCGCGAATCAAACCATACTGTGTGTTGCATGGTGGCTCGCACACTGCTTTCCCTTTGATGTACTTTAGATTTCCACTCGGATCCTTGCATTTACAGTCGCCGGTATCGAAGTCGTGCACCAGGCCATCTTCAAGATGGCAGGGCGGCTTGCATATTCCTTTGCCCTGCACCCACGTAATATCGTAGTGCTTCTCGCGGCACACGCAGTTGCCGGTCTTCTCATCGTGGATCATTCCGTAGTCTGCATTGCACGGTGGCTCGCACACTGCCTTTCCGTTGATGTATTTCAAGCTTCCGCTGGCGTCCTTGCATTTGCAGTCACCAGTGTAGAAGTCGCGCACCACGCCGTCTTCAACATGGCAGGGTGGCTTGCATACACCTGTACCTTGCACCCACGTTATCTCATAGTGTTTCTCGAGGCATACACAGTTACCAGTCTTCTCGTCGTGGATCAAGCCATACTGTGCATCGCACGGAGGTTCACAGACGGGTTTTTCGTCCACATACGTGAGCTTGGCGTGTGGATCCATGCACTTGCAGTCTCCGGTGTTTTCCTCGTGGACAAGGCCGTCTTCGGCGTGGCAGGGCGGCTTGCAAACAGCTTCGCCCTTTACCCATGTAATCTGCAGATGGCTGTCCCGACACTTGCAGCTGTTCGTGACTTCGTCGTATGTAAAACCGTATTCTGCATCGCACGGAGGTTCACAGACGGGTTTTCCGTCCACATATGTGAGTTTGGCGTGTGGGTCCTTGCATTTGCAGTCCCCAGTATTTCCGTCATGAGCAAGACCGTCTTCTGCGTGGCAGGGCGGTATGCAAACAGCCTTGCCTTCCACCCAAGTAATCTGCAAATGGCTGTCCCGACACTTGCAGCCGCTTGTGACCTCGTCGTATACAAAGCCGTACTCTGCATCGCACGGAGGCTCGCACACGGGCTTTCCGTCCACATACGTGAGCTTGGCGTATGGGTCCTTGCACTTGCAGTCTCCGGTGTTTTCCTCGTGTACAAGACCGTCTTCAGCGTGGCAAGGAGGCTTGCAAACAGCTTTGCCCTGCACCCATGTAATCTGCAGATGGCTGTCCCGACACTTGCAGCCGCTTGTGACCTCGTCGTATACAAAGCCGTACTCCGCATCGCACGGAGGCTCGCACACGGGCTTTCCGTCCACATAGGTGAGCTTGGCGTATGGGTCCTTGCACTTGCAGTCTCCGGTGTTTTCCTCGTGTACAAGACCGTCTTCAGCGTGGCAAGGTGGTTTGCAAACAGCTTTGCCCTGCACCCATGTAATCTGCAAATGGCTGTCCCGACACTTGCAGCCGCTTGTAAGCCTGCCGCATATACAAAGCCGTACTCTGCATCGCACGGAGGCTCGCACACGGGTTTCGTCCATAGGTGAGCTTGGCGTATGGGTCCTGTAGACGGTAGTCTCCGGTGTTTTTCTCTCGTGTACAAGACCGTCTCAGCGTGGCATGAGGCTTGCAAACAGCTTTGCCCTTCACCTACGTAATCTGCAGATGCTGTCCCGACACTTGCAGCCGCTTGTGACCTCGAAACCGTATACAAAGCTCGTACTCTGACCGCATCGGGAGGCTCGCACACGGGCTTGCGTCCACATACGTGAGCTTATGTATGGGTCCTGCACTCCTGCAGTTCCGGTAAGCTCGTGTACAAGACCGTCTTCAGCGTGGCGGGCGTGGTTTGCAAACAGTGCTGTTCTGGCACCCATGTAATCTGCAAATGGCTGTCCCGACACTTGCAGCCGCTTGTGGCCTCGTCGTATACAAAGCCGTACTCTGCATCGCACGGAGGCTCGCACACGGGCTTTTCGTCCACATAGGTGAGCTTGGCGTATGGGTCCTTGCACTTGCAGTCTCCGGTGTTTTTCTCGTGTACAAGACCGTCTTCAGCGTGGCATGGAGGCTTGCAAACAGCTCTGCCCTTCACCCATGTAATCTGCAGATGGCTGTCCCGACACTTGCAGCCGCTTGTGACCTCGTCGTATACAAAGCCGTACTCTGAATCGCACGGAGGCTCGCACACGGGCTTTCCGTCCACATACGTGAGCTTGGCGTATGGGTCCTTGCACTTGCAGTCTCCGGTGTTTTCCTCGTGTACAAGGCCGTCTTCAGCGTGGCAAGGTGGTTTGCAAACAGCTTTGCCCTTCACCCATGTAATCTGCAGATGGCTGTCCCGACACTTGCAGCCGCTTGTGACCTCGTCGTATACAAATCCGTACTCTGCATCGCACGGAGGCTCGCACACGGGCTTTCCGTCCACATACGTGAGCTTGGCGTATGGGTCCTTGCACTTGCAGTCTCCGGTGTTTTCCTCGTGTACAAGGCCGTCTTCAGCGTGGCAAGGTGGTTTGCAAACAGCTTTGTCCTTCACCCATGTAATCTGCAAATGGCTTTCCCGACACTTGCAGCCGCTTGTGACCTCGTCGTATACAAAGCCGTACTCTGCATCGCACGGAGGCTCGCACACGGGCTTTCCGTCCACATACGTGAGCTTGGCGTATGGGTCCTTGCACTTGCAGTCTCCGGTGTTTTCCTCGTGTACAAGGCCGTCTTCAGCGTGGCAAGGTGGTTTGCAAACAGCTTTTTCCTTCACCCATGTAATCTGCAGATGGCTTTCCCGACATACGCAGTCACCAGACTCCTCGTCCCATATGAAACCGTGGTCTGCGCTGCACGGCGGTTCGCAAACAGGCTTATTGTCGACATATTTTAGTCTTCCCAGTGGATTCTTGCACTTGCAATCCCCTGTCTCCCCGTCGTGCACAACGCCAAGCTCCTGGTGGCAGGGCGGCTTGCAGATAGGCCTGCCCTGCACCCAGGTCACTTGCAAATGTTCTTTTTTGCAAGCGCAGCCGCCAGTGTTCTCGTTGTAGACAAGGCCGTACTCAGCCTTGCATGGCGGCTCGCAAACTGGCTTCCCATCCACGTGCGTCAGCTTGGCGTATGGGTCGTTGCACTTGCAGTCGCCAGTGTTCGCCTCATGCACAAGGCCGTCTACAGCGTGACAGGGAGGTTTGCATACTGGCTTGTCTTTCACCCACGTCAGCTGCCATTCTGATTCCTTGCAAGCGCAGGCACTGGACGCCGGGTCTTCAACCTGTTGGAAAAACACATCGCCACGCTTATTTTACTACAGTACTCGGGTCGCAAATGAAGACATCTGTCTTACCCACTTCGCAGCTTACCATACCGTTCTGGGGCAAACACAAGAAGCCGCGGCAGCTTTCTTCGGTTACAATGCCATTTTATTTCAACGCGCATGGCCCGCTTGCTGCCAATGTGCGGAAATATTCTTCTCGTCAATGTTGAGGTGGGTGGAGGGTTGTGGTTGTGTGCGTGGGTAAGTGGGTGGGGGGAAGGGGGAACCCGGCCTGTCCATTCGTTCAAACAAACAAGACGTATCGCGTCACACACGATGAAAGACTACGAACCCGTGCTCTGCCATTCTCAACCTGCCTCAGATGTCTGGGCTGTTCAGCCCCAGCTCTCATATCGAGGCGTTTGATTTTGTGGCGGCCGAGGAGTGTCTCTACAGCGGCTTTGGAGAGCGCAGCTCTCCAGTCAGTCTCGTATTGAGGCCTTCAGCGGACTGCTAACGTGGGTTAAATTTCAATTCTTGCTTGTGCAGGATGCCAGGAGCTGAAACGTTGCAGATTCAATGTCCTAACGAGCTCTATGCATCCCCCCTGTGGGCGCTGTTCTTCCCTTCCTGATATAAACGACTGCTGTCATTTTTGGGAGCCTAAGAAGGACTTTCGCCATCTGCAATTGCATTTCAGTTAGCACGCGAATCTTACTGGCTGCCGATCTCACCGGCGGTCACGTGCTTGCAAAACAGTGGACGCATTGCGAAACTCCTGGGGCGTTGCCTTGGGGCACACGGCCTGCAAATGTGAACATGAGAGCAGGGCAGGTGGTCTGCAATCCGTAGTCCCCTACGATATGCGTTTGCTGCCCTGTCAGGCACCGTAGAAATGTCAAGCATCCTATGGGTTCCCCATCGAAGAGCTGGTCCATCGCCCTTCGCATTGGGGTGGGACTTTGCGCGTTTTGCGCCAGCATTTGCGAGGGTGGCGAGCATGGGAAATCATCAAACGGACACAACACCTTACTTACCAGTCCATATTCCTCGCTGCATGTTGGCATGCACATGAGCTTGCCTTCCATTAGCGCCATTTTCGAGCTCGGGTCTTTGCACATGCAGTCTCCCGTCTCAGAATTGTGGATCAGCCCATCCTCCACGTGGCACGGGGGCTTGCACACCGCCTTGCCTTGGAGCCACAATATAGCTGTCTTGGGATCCTCGCACACGCAGTCGCCCGTCTCGGGATCATGAATGAGTCCGTTCTCCTTGCTGCACGACGGCTTGCACGTCGGCTGGCCATCAACCCAAATCATTTTGGCATTGGAATCCTTGCAGATGCAGTCACCAGTCTCTTTGTCGTGGACCTGAAAGATGAAAGTGTCAAGGATCAGGCGATAACGGCGATGTGTGCGCCACCACACACAAACTCTGTTTTGATGAAAAGTGGGGTAAGGTTCAGATTTGCTGGTACAAAATTGTCCTGAAAGCGTGTTTCAAGTCTCCCCTGTGGAGGCAGAAGGACTGATCATTTTATTGTTCAAAACTACGAACCAATCTCGCTCGGAGGCCACAAGATATACAATTCATGAATCTCAATTTCAATGTACACGCAAGCAGTCACCGAATTAAGGACCCATTAATAAGTCACGGCAGCCTATTTCCCTTCGTTCCACATCCAGTCGGTGCGCTTGCATCTTCACGGAGCTACGATTATAGACGTGCCTCTCGCTGCTCCTGCATGTATCCTGACCACATGCAATCGAAATGCCGTGGCGCATCGGATTTTGACGACGGCTTTGAGCTGCGGCAACTAACTGCAGCGCAGTGCCGACAGCTCGTTGATATGTTCACTGCATCTCGTGATCAAAATGTCATTCCTAACGCGATAGGCGAGGCTCCAAATTTGGCGTGGCCGAAATATTCACGCCGAAATTCCCATTCAGCGGACTCAAGGGAACAGTTCCACGGATGAAAGGCCCACCAGTCCGTATTTGGGGTTGCATGGAGGGGGCTGGCACATCTTCTGGCCGTCAAGCAGAGTCAGAATCCACCGAGGGTCCTTGCACACACACTCATGGGAGGCGGCATCTCGCACCTACAAGAAACCGCACAGTCAACGCCCACACCAGGTGCACACAGAGAAACAGGGGGATAAGATGCAAAAATGCCCTTAAGGGAGCACCTTTGCTGAGTTTGTCGCCCTAAAGGAGATCCCAATATGGCACAACAACCCTCGTGACATGTGCACGAGCACATGGGCATGAGCACGCAGGCTTGTAATTTACTTCTGCGGCACTATATTACGTTTCCCCGTATATGTGCAGGAGTGGCCAAATACTACGGCCACAAATGTGAATACTGCATTTAGCACCATCGCAACCATTTGCCCGTGCCACCAAAAGTTTTCCAGCTCAACGCAGCAGGCCGTTCACCGCGCTCTCATAGAGGGCGGCGATGTTGTCCAGCAAATGGCCTTTGTCCACCCATCTAACCGCGTTCAGCTGCGCCTCACTAGAATCTTAACGCCCTTGGATCCATATGGCGCATCTTTTCGTAACTTGTCGCACATTTATATGTACATGTAGCATAACATGCCATACTAACTCGTAAATGTGCGTATGTACAAAGCATGCAAATAGCAAATCTGAGAGCAAAACGCGATAGGATGGCGAGCATTGTCTGAACCACATGCCCTTTGCCCGCAAGGTTCTCCTTTGAAATTGTGGCGAGAAGCGACATCCATGGACATCAATGTTACAGATATCGCAACCAGGTTTGGTGATTCGACTTTTGCTCACATTCCGCCACATTGCATTCACACGATCGTATAAAAATCAGTGCCTCAGCGCCCTCGTTCTGATTTCGAAACGGGCGCATTTGTCATTGCAACCACATTCGAACTGCAGCCTTCGGCCAGCCAGGGCCGAGCGTCGCGAAAACATTCTCCTCACCAGGCCCCACGCCACGTCGCACGGCGGTTCGCATTTCGTGACTTCTGCGCTAACGACAAGCTCCCATCGCGGATCCTTGCACACACACTCGTCTGTTTCCGTGTCGCGTACCTATCACAAAGTCACATCAGGTGCACTGGCGTTAGCGTGCAAAATGTGTCGCCCGGACGCATTCTGCCTTATTCTGGGTGCTTTGCAGGTGGTTGCAGGACTGACTTGACCTTGATAGTAAGTTTCACTGCATCACATCATACAAGAGCACCTGTCCTGTACCCCCCCCAGGTGGCTATTCGCAAAAACACTAGTTCCGCATGCTGATTCGTCTCAACACTGCATTCACGACAGCTGCCACATGCAAAGACATTGCACATCACCACAAAATTCCGGATAAACGATTTCGCAAATTATAACACGCACGTTACACGGGTGTACGCGTCGGTAATCCGCCACAAAGTGCCATGTCACTACAATGTGTTCATCCCCAAACCACGCGACGATCCAGCAAACAAGCTGCTGCTCTCATTGGAGATCCAATGTTCATTATTTCCTCCAAAGAGCAAGCACGCATACAGCAAGAATCATGCCATATTCGGGGAAAGGCGCAGCTACCGTCGCCTTGTCCAATCAGAGACAAATGGTGCCAATGCATGCTGTAATGGCGAACTGCTCTCTTCAAGCCAAGTGTCGAGCCGATGTTCAGCGCAGGGGTGAACTCGTACGCGCAAACTGTGCTTCATGATATCCATTCATCCTGTACTGCATCAGGTAACCATGCTATACATGGCGTGTTTGGTTCCCAAGAGCGCAAAATAGAACAGAACGGCTTGGCGTTCGTGTGCTTGCAACTGCACCATGGGGCGCTCACCAATCCATAATCGTGGTTGCACGGAGGGGGCTTGCATATTTTTTGGCCCTCAATCAGAGACAATATCCAGCTGCTGTCCTTGCAGACGCATTCGTAGGTATCCGGGTCACGCACCTGGGAGACATACAACAAACTGCCTAAGAAGATCAAAAAGACAGGTACGGCACGAGACACCCACAAATACGCCTGCGACCACTAGGAAAAAAAGGGCCAAATAACACTTTTTCGAACACACATAAAACACATTTCATCATAGTTTAACACGCTAAGAACACAAAAATAACACAAACCCGTAAACTTTGTACACGTCTGAACACGTGTTATTTGGCCCTTTTTTCCCTAGTGGACAGTGAAGTAGTGGACTCAAATTTCTGGGTGTGACTTGTTCGATTCGCTAATTCCACGTGCAGAAATTTGTGCAATGCACCGCATTCGGCATTCAAATTCCTGCACACCCCAGCTGAATACATTTCACGCCATCACACAACGGTTCACACACCACTGCGCAGCTATGCGCAGCTGGCAGGACTCTGTGTTCTACTTTGCAGCTTTGCCGTGCTGGTCACCCAGGGGATGTCCGCTGCTTAGTATGTGTAGGAAAACCCTGGCCATCACATGTGGAGGTTCACAGCCTGCTCGTCAGTTCCCTGCTCACGTGTGCAGTCTGGAATCCTATCTTTGTGCTACGTAAGGGTTCAGACGGTATCTTACGACTCACCAGTCCCCATGCTGGGTCACATGGCGGGACGCATTTAGGCCCTTCTGGTTTCTTGACTTGTTCCCATTCAGCATTGTAACACACGCAATTGCCGGTGACAAGGTCCCGCACCTGGTGGAGGAAAACGGAAAGCACACACATCAGACGACTGAACATCGGCCGTCGTGCCAAAGTATGCATTCAGTTTCCAACGCGATCACAGACCCTCAAAGGAGCAGCGGGTCTGTTCTTATCACGCAATTCAATGGCGCGCACAGGCAGCGCAGAGATCTACCCTTTCGGGGCATCCATCCTAAGCCAAGTCGTACTCTTTCACTAGTAAAAATTCGAGCATTTGACACGGTGTACAATTCGACGAAATCGTGTTAATATCGTGTACAAATCGGGTGCTTCAGAGCACGATTTACACGATTGCTATAATCGTGTAGTTTTCAACCCTGTGTAGTACACGAAAGTGGTTCACCTCACCACCATGGACAACACGACAAAGCACACGGTTTTACACAATTTCAATGGTGTACCAGCGGCAAACGTGTATTTTGTGATTAGTACACGATCGGTACACAATGGTCACACGAGTTTTACACCATTTTGACATGCGCACGAATGGTACACGAATTTCTGGACCGTGTACCATTCTTTGGCCGATTTTTCACCAGTGTTTGGAACAATTATATCGGCACAAATGACTAATACGCTTGCTCGCAGTGCATAAATATAAAGACCTAAACGCGCCCAGCTATGCATGCACGGCTGCGCACTGCAGGCTGGAAGGCAGCCAGCGGATTGGACATCCTGAATGTAACAGCGCGTCTCTAATAGGAAGATCAATCAACAAGCTAGTGGCCCTCTCGTGGTTCGCGAGCTGTGATACTTATTTACCAATGGTTGAAGCCGAATGGTGCATCGAAATCCCCTCACCGGAAGCACTTTTAGACACATTCCATTCTTTTGGACAGAAAACCCCAATTGCTTCAAGACAATATGCAAAATTTGGAAACACCTTGCGATGTCTGTTGGAAAGCAGTAATTTCGACATATGCTGTCGCGTTGCCGCAGCCACATGAACAGCAGGGCATTCGGGTTGGGGATTTTGCGTGCGGTGCCAAGCTTCACGATGGCTGGCGAGTTGGTGTACAGGCAGGTGTGGTAATGCATTCTCACACTTCGGCGCAAAAGCGCATACGATATTAGAGCGTGCGTCCTTACCATGCCGTATTCCCCAGGGCATGCAGGTTTGCACACTGGATTGTAACCCTCGACATATACCAGCTCCGCGTGGGGCTCCTTGCACACGCAGTCGCCAGTGTCTGGATGACGCACCTAAAAGGCCCCACTCACAAACCCTCAGTGTACCTCACTCTCGTCGTACGAATCTCGTGGCGGTAGATAAGAGTCGAGGAAGGCTGAAAAAAAATCCCCGATGCAAGCAGGTAAACATCCGCACAGACATGTCTTGCTCTCAAATGAGGCTCAATTTTGGATACAAATGCGCCAGCGTGGCTGTTCCACCAGGTGCTTTTTCGAACAAAGAATTGTATTAGAAACACTGACAGTGCGCACTGTCAGAAGGGAGAACATGAAGGACATGGGAAGGGAAGGGCATGCCCTTCCACGAGCTGCCCAATGAAGAGCCATGTCAGGTTCAAACCGGCACTAATTGGCACGCAATATCCGTATGGACAGTTCGAATGGTCCATGGCTATCATTCATCCAAATGCGCAGTTATCAGGCGCCCTCCACACACCATTCCGGCATCATGGTCGCAAGGAGGCTTGCAGTGTGGCTTCTTGTTAGTCCAAACCATTTCGTAATTGTCGTCTTTGCACACGCAATTGCCTTCGTCGTCGTGCACCTGCGCATGCAAAGCAGTGTGGCGTGTCTCGCAAGGGATAAAATTCGCGTAGCTCGCCCACCTCCAAAGTTAGTTGGAAGTGCTCTGTTGCTTGAGCTAGATGCCTTGAGCTGTCTAACGACCTTGTGGCAATTTGTAGAGTCCTCCAACTCCGCGAATCAGGCGTAGGGAGGCATTACTGATTTGGAGAGGTTGAAGGCATACCCCCGACAAATAGACACTAAGCAATCGGGCGAAGTCGAAGGCACACACAAAGATCGCGACCGAAGAACTGAGGTTCAGAGACGCGCCCCAAGGTGCGGGCGTGTTGGCAACGCCCCACTGATGCTTCCTGGGTCACACTTCTCAGAGCAAAGAGGTTTGCACACAAGCTTGTGGTCACCTTCGTGCACAAGGTTTGCCTCTGGTTCTATATACATACCACCTCCCGTGTCTGGGTGATGCTTCCACACAGCGTTGGGGGGCAAAATAGAACTCAGCGATGGTGCGTCCGCCAGCCGACACGAAAGTACTGTGAACCGTGGACGACATTGCGTAACGGGTTCGGCCTTTACAGCGATATCCCAGAGCACTATTCACCGATTTCGGCAGCCCGCACGTTTCGGAAAAAGGTGCGCAACGATCGCGTCAAACTCACCAAGCCAGCCTCGTGATCACAAGGAGGCTTGCAGCGAGGTTTCTCTCCAATCCAAATCAGCTTGTAGGTGGGTTCCTCGCACACACACTCCCCGTAGGCGTCGTGCACCTGCAGCGCGCCGGCCAATTGTACAAAGTCGCCCAAGGTGACATTACAATAACGCACCGTGCATTTCTCCACCTCCACAAGGCGTATAAGGACTGGCAATACAGGTGCCTGTCCCCTGGATCCTGTAAATTTCGTGATGGCTGCGGACTTTGGGGCTAACGAGGTGCCAAGAATGCGTTTGCAAGCAATGCATTCGATGCTGATCCTCCTGTACATGGTTGGGTGGGGGCCCGTGGAACACATTCCAGATTCTCACCAGTCCATAATCTTGCGCGCAAGGAGGTTTGCATACAGGCTGGTAGTCACTTCCAATCACAAGCTTCGCTTCAGGATCGATGCACACGCATTCACCTGTATCCGGATGGTGCTTCTGCAAGACAATGCGAACAGCCTGTATACTCAATACAACGCTACATGACACATGTCCAGTCCAACAAGCGGCGAAAATGTGCATCCCGGTCAATTTGGGGAATAGACTACTTCACAATTTCCTCACGCAGTTCGTTGTGAAACACGCGTGTATTGCACAATTTGAAGGAACAAGGACTTCTTGGAGGCACTCACCCGTGACCCTAGGCCAGCGTTAGTATTGCCTAGACTTAAAACAGGCTTCTCGTGACTCCATTAGGGCTTCATGTGCAAATGCAGAATCTCAGAAGCATTGAAATCACAATACAGGGCTGACCGCAGACAGCCGCAGATAGTACAATCTGATAGAAAGATAGCATGGACGCCAGCCACTGACCAAGCCAGCATCATGATCGCAGGGAGGCTTGCATTGTGGTTTGTTTGCAATCCACACAAGCTTGTATGCGTCGTCTTCGCACACACAGTCCCCTTTGCCGTTGTGCACCTGCAAAGAATAAAGATCCAGAACTATTTTGCCAGGGACGAAATACATACAGTTCAATCCATCGAGAGCGACCACCGGCGCGCAGACAGCTGTCTGAATGGCTGTGAAAACACATAAACACTTACTTCTAAGAGTATTCTAGAATTGGAGGGCCACCTGGGATGAGAGTGACGACACGACGTGGCAAATGTGCCTGACCACAGGAAAGAGACGCAACGGCGCGGCCCCAAAGTTGGGAGGACTTTGCGGATGGAGCACTTTGATCATATAGCCTGGATGTACTGTGAGGGTGGGGGCTGCCAACAGAAGATTTCTGTATCCTTACCAGGCCGTAGTCCTTGGCGCAAGGAGGTTTACACACAGGTTTGTGGTCTTCACCGTGCACAAGCTTCGCATGATGATCGATGCACACGCATTCTCCCGTATCTGGATGATGCTTCTGCGCAGAACAAAAAAGGTGACATTCATCAGATTGTTTGATTCTGTCTGATATTGTTTCTGATCCTTTCTGACCTTGTGTGATCTTTCCCTGCGTGATATTGCATTTAAAACAGTTCTTGAGAAGCGATCACATGGAGAAATGGAATCGTCGTCTGGAAATTCTCCATCCAGCCCAGCTATCATCGGAACCCGTCTTTCAGTGTACAGGGTACACTCGCCATGAGATCCATTATCAGTGTATGTCTCATTCAATGAGGCTCAACAATCAGATATGGATGGCTAGCATTCCGCTGCCGTAGTAGCCGCAACGTGAGCAAGTTAAAATGTACTATTTGATCGTGGCACACGCACCAGTCCCGCCTCGTGGTCGCAGGGAGGCTTGCATTGGGGCTTGTCTGCGACCCAGACCAGTTTGTACGTGTTGTCCTCACACACACAGTCTCCTTTGTCATCGTGCACCTGGGAAATGCAGTTGTGCAGGAGGGCGGTTGAGAAACCGCCACAAGGCACTAATTCGTCAGCCCTCCTTTCAAAGCACGCCAAAAGCGCGATGGTTATTGCAGTGCATTTAGGCTCGCCAACTTTTTTTCAGCTCGGCGGTTGGCAGTTCTAACTTTCAACGATCGAACGCTTTCGTGGAAACACTTCACTGGCAACCACACAACCATCACGGCCGATCCTGTTTGCTATCAGCTCAGACTGATAACCAAATTTCTGGCCAGCCTTTGGCACGCAGCAACAGTCGACATATTGCTCCGGGCAATGTGCAAATAACTTCTTCATCGAAATACAAATAATCCCCGCGTATTTCTCTGAAGCGGTATTGATCTTGCAGGCACTCTCAAATTCAGCATTCACAATATGTTGGCTTGTATTTCGTTTCCATCCAACATGCATTTTCGAATGCAACGATAACTTTGCTCGGCACGCAGTAACATGTCATGCAAAACAAGAACCAACACGTACCATTTGGGAACTCATTTGACTATAAGATTGCAGCCATATGAGGGACGACAGTACAAGACGGATTTTCTACAGTGTGACAGTTGCGAAGGTGAGGCGCATGGAAATGTTGATGAACGGCTCCGTGGATTCAGAAGACGTTGCATGTATGGCTTTCACAGCGTCAAGGCTCTCATTTCCTTACCAACCCGTAACCTTTGGCGCAGGGAGGTTTGCACAAAGGTCGGTAGTCGCCGTCGTGCACCAGCTTCGCTTCGGGGTCAATGCAAACGCATTCGCCAGTGCGTGGATGATGTTTCTGCACAATGACAAGAGAGCCACTGACCACTATCCAAAAGGAATACCATTTTGCCGCGCAGGCAAACACAACATCACAGTATACAACGTTTGGCTCCTTATAACTGTGTACAGTGCTTGACTGTCTGCGTGCTTCCGCCGTCAAAGCCACCAGTCTGTGTGTCTCAAACACAGCACATCAACGTGGTAGTGCCGCGCTGTTTCCACCCCATGGTGGTACAGAAGTAAGGGCCTCCAATGAGGAAAGGGGACTATAGCCCGCCCCATGTTCAGTGCCGAGACAAAGATGCGCCAAGCGGTACCTTCACCACAGAAAGCGCATAGGAGACTGCCTTACCAGCCCCCCCTCACTGTCACAAGGCGGTTTGCACTGTGGATCTCCCGCTATCCACAACAACGTGTAGGTGCTCTTCTCGCAAACGCACTTGCTGGTGTCTTTGTCAAGCACCTGCAGCGTGCAAGCAAACGGCGCTCGGGCCAGGCGTTGGGACGGACAGTTGAGTTGTTATTTTCAACAACTGCATGATGGAAGGCATTGTGGTGTTTCAGTTGAGCGCGTCGTTATCGCTTGTCGTATGTCTTGGTGATTTGGGGCATCTCGGCTATCGCTGTGCTCAGACAGGGCAGAATTGGAACGTCCTTGAAATGTGCAACGGGTCCGTACACGTATCTGTTTCATTACGATTCCACAAGAATCACCACGATCGCATGCAGATGACCATCGGATCATTTTCATGCGTGTATCACTTGGAGCCGCACGCTCTCCCAATATGCACCTCCTGTTGAGCCATTTAGGCGGCACCATATCACGAACGTGACGGCGATGGGGCACTGCAACTTGATATGAGTCACGGATCCCTTTGCTTCTTCAAATGGAAATCATCACTCACCAGTCCATTCTCAGACTTGCATGTTGGCTGGCACATCTGCTTCCCATCATCATACGTAACCAATGTAGTCTTGGGGTCTCTGCATTTGCAATCACCCGTATCTGGGTGGTGCTCCTGGCAAGTGCGCAAATGGAGGCAATGCTTCAGCCAGACTGTCAGTAAGTTGTCGGCGAACAGAGCTTAGTGCATCATTTCGAGCATAATTCCGAGCATAATCACGAGCATGTCCCATCGTTATAATGTCCAGGTCATACAAATAATCAACGGGCTTGGCGTCACCTGTTAGCCCGCAAGTGTCATGTTGTACCAAACGAACCCGGGCGGCAATGTGGGGCCGAAGTGTCATTCCAGAGAATAGGATCAATATGCACCATGAATGCTGGCATTACGAATGGTTGTTTTTTCTAGTGAATCCATATGATAAGAAAGTAGCGTCGTATTCACCAGTCCAGCCTCGTGGTTGCAGGGAGGCTTGCATTGCGCTTTTCCTGATATCCACACCAGCTGGTAGCTGTCGTTATCGCAGACACATCTGCCAATCCCGGAGTGGTACACCTGAGGGGGACAATTTGCGGTCACAAAAGTCCCAAAGTAAAAAGGGGGGAGGCTTGCTTGTGCATGAAGTGATTTGATGGTGTAACATCTAGGTACAGCCATTCACCTACTGAAAATGGGCTAGAACACTGAGAACGAGATTCCTGTTTCCTGATCTTTCTGAGGCTGTAGACGATATACTTCTCGCAGCCTCAAACAACAAAAGTATCCACATATACCCATCAGCTCCTTGTTTCGTAAGAGCAGCGGAAATGATACCTGAAAGAAAGCCTGTTGCTTTGTATTGGACGCAGTAGAGAATTTACCGCATCCAGGCAACAACACATACGCGCACCGTCGTTTTTGCGTTATCTATCTAACAGACTCAGAGATGTGCGCGGCCCAGAGCCGCATGGCCACAGAGCCGCAATGATATTGGTACAAAAGAACAGGCACAGAGCCTGTTCTTTACGGCTGTAGAACGCAACACGTTAGTGCGAAAAAAAAACACCCCTCCTTACCAATCCGTATTTCTTGTCACAGGGCGCTCTGCAGGTAGCCTTGTAATCTTCGTCGTACACTAGCTCTGCATATGGGTCGACGCACACACAGTCTCCTGTGATGGGATTATGCTTCTGCGATTGAACAATACAAGAAAGTGTTGACAGACCGAGTGACCCACTCACAAATGGAAGCTTGCCTTCTCTACCACAGCAGTGCCACAAGCCGTCGGGAATTCAACACACGAAGAGGGCAAGAGCCCAAAACGACCTGTACTGAAGATAAACTTGTTTAAATGCACAGGCCAAGTGGTTTCCCAGCTGTACAGTCAAAGAAGCGAAAATGGCGCCAAAACCTGATGAAGACAACACGATATATTTCAAGTTTTATACGGCTTTTGCGTCAAATGTACAATTAGATCAAAACTTAGCCTTGTGGTAATCCGTGTGAGATGGGCAGTGTTCTGCCGTTATTAGGGACCAAGACATGAAATTCTCAGTTTCTGGAGCTCACAATCAAATGGCATCGACAGTATCACTCACTGAAGTGCTCACAAAAGAGAGAATAATGACGACCTCCAGACCCACACGGAGCGTGCCGACAACGGCGATAAGTTGGGGAAAAGGAATGTGAAAGACCTGCCAGATACTCTGGCACTTGTCAAATGCTATGTCAAAAGTTGGGACAGGTGCCTCCCATTCCAATACCACCCACCAGCCCATATTCTCCTTCGCAGGGTGGTTTACACACGGGCTTGCCCTCTATCCAGAACAGCTTGTAGTCGGTGCTGCTACACACACACTTGCCAGTACCATCGTCGAGGACCTGGGCATCAAAAATGGAACTTTGGTAATCAGAACATTCGATTCGCGCCTGTTGTTTAGGTTAATTGTCCTTATTTGGTTATTATCGTATGTTTCAGATGAATCGTGCAGCACTTTGAATCCCTTGCACTATTTCATGTGCGGCCTTTCGATTCATAATTCGCGTATGCAGTGGTGTGTCGACAAGGCAAAAGAAGCAGTGGTCCCTCTCGCTTACGGCGACGATCGCAAAAAAAGAAAAAAACGACAGCTCCAAACCACAATAAAAAAGCATAAATCTACACCAGCCTGCCTTAAGGAGAACTTATCCAACACGTCTTTAGTGCCAACAAGGCAATTCAGTGCCAAGCCGTCAAACACACGGATGCATGGACGGAGGATACATGGAATATTGAACATCGCGCCTTCAACAGCCCATAGTCGCACACCGCCGCTCCATCCCTTGGGCCCCAGCAACTCACCAATCCATGGTCGCACTTGGGATGACAAGCGATGACCAAGCCGTAAGGGTCCTTCTTCTCTACCGCCTCGGGGTCCTTGCATTTGCACTTGCCATCCGGGCCGTGTACCTGAGGGGCGCGGGGCCCCAATGCACCAAAGTGTTAGAATTGGAGGCCGTACAGACAGATCTCCAGACACGTGAAGCGCTTTCACAAGCCTTTCGACATGCTGCCTATTGCGGGTTGGCGAGGCGCAAAAAAAGCGTGCAATCTCTCATTCAGGGACTTCGGGACTCGGCTCAGGGAATTCAGAGCCCCTTGGGCCTGCGGTGGTCACACGGCGGTCGTACCAAAGGGGGAACATTGCACTCCAAAGGTGGGTAAGAAGCCCGTGTGCAATATCAACGCAGAAACCCGCCGCTTCAACACGGTGTGTGAACTTCGGATGGGTGGACCTACCAGGCCGGCTTCGTGCGCACAAGGTGGCTTGCACTGCGGCTTGCCGTTTATCCACACCAGCTTGAGATATTCGTCTTTGCACACACACGTCCCGGTGGAGGCGTGATGCACCTGGCGCGCAGAGACACACGTCGCGTGAGGTCCAAATTGCCGAGGGTCCATGCTCTATGGTGCCTCGACAGAAACTCGTAGGACATCAACGCAAGCTGGGCGGATCCGATTCTACAATCCCAAAATGGCCAACACACAACATCCCCAGGGACACAGGAAATCGTTTCACATGCCCTCATGGCACTATACACGCCAGATACTTGGGGCAATCCGCAACAACCCGAGCGGCCAAACATCGTTGACGGCCACCCTCGCCCAACACGCCATTCTTTGGAAATTACGGCCCAACAGCCCTGGACCTTTGACAAGAGAGCTGCCACGACAATTGAGCCTGTCTTTAGTGCGAGGAAATGCCTTGCTGCCGAATTGAGCGCGTGTGACGCTTTGGCATCGGGGCCGTCCACCGCGAGCGCCCGCCAAATCTCGCTCACCAATCCGTATTCCTCCATGCATGGCGGTTTGCACACGGGCTTGTACTCCTCGTCATGCTCGAGTGTTGCATGAGGATCGATGCACTCGCACTCTCCGGTGTCCGGGTGGTGCTTCTACACAGAAACGAAGCAACAACACACAATTCAGCCACTCACAAGAGGACACCGGGGCCGTAATGGAAACAAGAGTAGCCGTCGGCCATCCCACAAACCAATGGTCACGGGGCCAAAACTCCCCGGCCAGCCCGCCAGTGCACCACAACCAAACAAAAGTAAGTGGGCCATTTTTTGAATCCTAAAAAGAGGGGATCGCATGATACGGCCCGGGCGGTGTGAACGTACTGCCCACGCGAAACGCATTGAAGTCGAGGTCATCCTCCGCCAGGCCGTACGCCTGGCGCCATTCCCTCACAAGGGTTGCTGCTTAGGCCTACTGCTTCCGATGCCACTCCACTCAATCCGGCCTCCGCGTCGCAAGGCGGTTTGCACACGGGTTTGCCATTTATCCACACTCAGCTTGTAGTCCTCCTCGACGCACACGCACTTGCCGGCTTCCTCGTCACACTTCTACAGGTGGCCACACCAAGTTTAAATACAAAGCGCCTGCGGGCGCGTCTGCGCACAAGCGGGCCCAAGGGCCGACGAATCTGATTGCCATGTTGCATCTCCATGCTCGGCCTCTCAGCCACCACCGTTGAGGTGGGGCGCCCGAATGGGCACCAGTCCAGACGGGCACCATCCCACATCAAAACCAGCACTAAAATGGAAACAGCCAAACGCGGCCGTGGCCGACTTATGGCCATGGGTGTGGACGGAAGACGCCCATTTGTCTGGGAGACGTGCTCCAAGGGGCCAACAAACTCAAGTTTCCCAACGTGGCTATTGTGCCAACAAGGCCTTTCAGTGCCAAGCCGTCAAACACACGGATGCATGGACGGAGGATACATGGAGAATTCAACATCGCGCCTCCAACAGCCCATAGTCGCACACCGCCGCTCCATGCCTTGGGCCCCAACAACTCACCAATCCATGGTCGCACTTGGGATGACAAGCGATGACCAAGCCGTAAGAGTCCTTCTTCTCTACCGCCTCGGGGTCCTTGCATTTGCACTTGCCATCCGGGCCGTGTACCTGAGGGGCGCGGGGCCCCAATGCACCAAAGTGTTAGAATTGGAGGCCGTACAGACAGATCTCCAGACACGTGAAGGGCTTTCACAAGCCTTTCGACATGCTGCCTATTGCGGGTTGGCGAGGCGCAAAAAAAGCGTGCAATCTCTCATTCAGGGACTTCGGGACTCGGCTCAGGGAAATCAGGGCCCCTTGGGCCTGCGGTGGTCACACGGCGGTTGTACCAAAGGGGGAACATTGCACTCCAAAGGTGGGTAAGAAGCCCGTGTGCAATATCAACGCAGAAACCCGCCGCTTCAACACGGTGTGTGAACTTCAGATGGGTGGACCTACCAGGCCGGCTTCGTGCGCACAAGGTGGCTTGCACTGCGGTTTGCCGTTTATCCACACCAGCTTGAGATATTCGTCTTTGCACACACACGTCCCGGTGGAGGCGTGATGCACCTGGCGCGCAGAGACACACGTCGCGTGAGGTCCAAATTGCCGAGGGTCCATGCTCTATGGTGCCTCGACAGAAACCCGTAGGACATCAACGCAAGCTGGGCGGATCCGATTCTACAATCCCAAAATGGCCAACACACAACATCCCCAGGGACACAGGAAATCGTTTCACATGCCCTCATGGCACTATACACGCCAGATACTTGGCGCAATCCGCAACAACCCGAGCGGCCAAACATCGTTGACGGCCACCCTCGCCCAACACGCCATTCTTTGGAAATTACGGCCCAACAGCCCTGGACCTTTGACAAGAGAGCTGCCACGACAATCAAGCCTGTCTTTAGTGCGAGGAAATGCCTTGCTGACGAATTGAGCGCGTGTGACGCTTTGGCATCGGGGCCGTCCACCGCGAGCGCCCGCCAAATCTTGCTCACCAATCCGTATTCCTCCATGCATGGCGGTTTGCACACGGGCTTGTACTCCTCGTCATGCTCGAGTGTTGCATGAGGATCGATGCACTCGCACTCTCCGGTGTCCGGGTGGTGCTTCTACACAGAAACGAAGCAACAACACACAATTCAGCCACTCACAAGAGGACACCGGGGCCGTAATGGAAACAAGAGGCTGTCGGCCATCCCACAGCCAATGGTCACATGTGGGGGCCAAAATCTCCTGGCCCGGGCGCCAGTGCACCACAACCAAAACAAAAGTAAGGGCCATTTTTGGAATCCCAAAAGAGGGGACGCATAAGATGGCCCAAGTAGTGTGAACGTACTGCCCACGCGAAACGCATTGAAGTCGAGGTCATTCCGCTAGTGGGCCGTATTGGCGTCATTCCCTCACAAGGGTTGCCAAGCTTAGCCTACTGCTTCCGATGCCACCCACCAATCCGGCCTCCGCGTCGCAAGGCGGTTTGCACACGGGCTTGCCATTTATCCACACTAGCTTGTAGTCCTCCTCGACGCACACGCACTTGCCGGCTTCCTCGTCATACTCCTACAGGTGGCCACATCAAGTTTAAATACAAAGCGCCTGCGGGCGCGTCTGCGCACAAGCGGGCCCAAGGGCCGACGAATCTGATTGCCATGTTGCATCTCCATGCTCGGCCTCTCAGCCACCACCGTTGAGGTGGAGCGCCCGAATGGGCACCAGTCCAGACGGGCACCATCCCACATCAAAACCAGCACTAAAATGGAAACAGCCAAACGCGGCCGTGGCCGACTTATGGCCATGGGTGTGGACGGAAGACGCACATTTGTCTGGGAAACGTGCTCCAAGGGGCCAACCAACTCAAGTTTCCCAACGTGGCTATTGTGCCAACAAGGCCTTTCAGTGCCAAGCCGTCAAACACATGAACGCATGGACGGGGGATACATGGAAAATTCAACATCGCGCCTCCAACAGCCCATAGTCGCACACCGCCGCTCCATCCCTTGGGCCCCAACAACTCACCAATCCATGGTCGCACTTGGGATGACAAGCGATGACCAAGCCGTACGAGTCCTTCTTCTCTACCGCCTCGGGGTCCTTGCATTTGCACTTGCCATCCGGGCCGTGTACCTGAGGGGCGCGGGGCCCCAATGCACCAAAGTGTTAGAATTGGAGGCCGTACAGACAGATCTCCAGACACGTGAAGCGCTTTCACAAGCCTTTCGACATGCTGCCTATTGCGGGTTGGCGAGGCGCGAAAATAGCGTGCAATCTCTCATTCAGGGACTTCGGGACTCGGCTCAGGGAAATCAGGGCCCCTTGGGCCTGCGGTGGTCACACGGCGGTCGTACCAAAGGGGGAACATTGCACTCCAAAGGTGGGTAAGAAGCCCGTGTGCAATATCAACGCAGAAACCCGCCGCTTCAACACGGTGTGTGAACTTCAGATGGGTGGACCTACCAGGCCGGCTTCGTGCGCACAAGGTGGCTTGCACTGCGGCTTGCCGTTTATCCACACCAGCTTGAGATATTCGTCTTTGCACACACACGTCCCGGTGGAGGCGTGATGCACCTGGCGCGCAGAGACACACGTCGCGTGAGGTCCAAATTGCCGAGGGTTCATGCTCTATGGTGCCTCGACAGAAACTCGTAGGACATCAACGCAAGCTGGGCGAATCCGGCTCTACAATCCCAAAATGGCCAACACACAACATCCCCAGGGACACAGGAAATCGTTTCACATGCGCTCATGGCACTATACACGCCAGATACTTGGCGCAATCCGCAACAACCCGAGCGGCCAAACATCGTTGACTGCCACCCTCGCCCGACACGCCATTCTTTGGAAATTACGGCCCAACAGCCCTGGACCTTTGACATGAGAGCTACCACGACAATCAAGCCTGTCTTTAGTGCGAGGAAATGCCTTGCTGACGAATTGAGCGCGTGTGACGCTTTGGCATCGGGGCCGTCCACCGCGAGCGCCCGCCAAATCTTGCTCACCAATCCGTATTCCTCCATGCATGGCGGTTTGCACACGGGCTTGTACTCCTCGTCATGCTCGAGTGTTGCATGAGGATCGATGCACTCGCACTCTCCGGTGTCCGGGTGGTGCTTCTACACAGCAACGAAGCAACAACACACAATTCAGCCACTCACAAGAGGACACCGGGGCCGTAATGGAAACAAGAGGCTGTCGGCCATCCCACAACCAATGGTCACATGTGGGGGCCAAAATCTCCTGGCCCGGGCGCCAGTGCACCACAACCAAAACAAAAGTATGGGCCATTTTTGGAATCCCAAAAGAGGGGACGCATGACATGGCCCAAGTAGTGTGAACGTCCTGCCAACGCGAAACGCATTGAAGTCGAGGTCATTCCGCTAGTGGGCCGTATTGGCGTCATTCCCTCACAAAGGTTGCCAAGCTTAGCCTACTGCTTCCGATGCCACCCACCAATCCGGCCTCCGCGTCGCAAGGCGGTTTGCACACGGGCTTGCCCTTTATCCACACTAGCTTGTAGTCCTCCTCGACGCACACGCACTTGCCGGCTTCCTCGTCATACTCCTACAGGTGGCCACACCAAGTTTAAATACAAAGCGCCTGCGGGCGCGTCTGCGCACAAGCGGGCCCAAGGGCCGACGAATCTGATTGCCATGTTGCATCTCCATGCTCGGCCTCTCAGCCACCACCGTTGAGGTGGGGCGCCCGAATGGGCACCAGTCCAGACGGGCACCATCCCACATCAAAACCAGCACTAAAATGGAAACAGCCAAACGCGGCCGTGGCCGACTTATGGCCATGGGTGTGGACGGAAGACGCCCATTTGTCTGGGAGACGTGCTCCAAGGGGCCAACAAACTCAAGTTTCCCAACGTGGCTATTGTGCCAACAAGGCCTTTCAGTGCCAAGCCGTCAAACACACGGATGCATGGACGGAGGATACATGGAGAATTCAACATCGCGCCTCCAACAGCCCATAGTCGCACACCGCCGCTCCATGCCTTGGGCCCCAACAACTCACCAATCCATGGTCGCACTTGGGATGGCAAGCGATGACCAAGCCGTACGAGTCCTTCTTCTCTACCGCCTCGGGGTCCTTGCATTGCCGCACTCCGGGCCGTGTACCTGAGGGGCGGGGCCCCAAATGCACCAAAAGTCTGGGAGTGGAGGCCGTACAGACAGATCTCCAGGCACGTGAAGGGCTTTCACAAGCCTTCTTCGACATGCTGCAGCCTATTGCGGGTGGCAGGGCGCAAAGCGTACAATCATTCGGACTTCGGGACTCGTGGGAAATCCAGGGCCTTGGGCCTGCGGTGAGAATCACGGCGGTGCCAAGGGAGACATTGCACTCCAAGGTGGTGGGGAAGTCGTGTGCAATATCAACGCGGCCAGCGAGATATTCGTCTTTGCACACGTCCGGTGGGCGTGATGCACCTGGCGCGCAGAGACACACGTCGCGTGAGGTCCAAATTGCCGAGGGTTCATGCTCTATGGTGCCTCGACAAAAACTCGTAGGACATCAACGCAAGCTGGGCGAATCCGGCTCTACAATCCCAAAATGGCCAACACACAACATCCCCAGGGACACAGGAAATCGTTTCATGCGCTCATAGCTCGCGCCAGATACTTGGCGCAACCTGCAACAACCCAAGCGGCCAAACATCGTTGACGGCCACCCTCGCCCAACACGCCATTCTTTGGAAATTACGGCCCAACAGCCCTGGACCTTTGACAAGAGAGCTACCACGACAATCAAGCCTGTCTTTAGTGCGAGGAAATGCCTTGCTGACGAATTGAGCGCGTGTGACGCTTTGGCATCGGGGCCGTCCACCGCGAGCGCCCGCCAAATCTTGCTCACCAATCCGTATTCCTCCATGCATGGCGGTTTGCACACGGGCTTGTACTCCTCGTCATGCTCGAGTGTTGCATGAGGATCGATGCACTCGCACTCTCCGGTGTCCGGGTGGTGCTTCTACACAGAAACGAAGCAACAACACACAATTCAGCCACTCACAAGAGGACACCGGGGCCGTAATGGAAACAAGAGGCTGTCGGCCATCCCACAGCCAATGGTCACATGTGGGGGCCAAAATCTCCTGGCCCGGGCGCCAGTGCACCACAACAAAAACAAAAGTAAGGGCCATTTTTGGAATCCCAAAAGAGGGGACGCATGACATGGCCCAAGTAGTGTGAACGTACTGCCAACGCGAAACGCATTGAAGTCGAGGTCATTCCGCTAGTGGGCCGTATTGGCGTCATTCCCTCACAAAGGTTGCCAAGCTTAGCCTACTGCTTCCGATGCCACCCACCAATCCGGCCTCCGCGTCGCAAGGCGGTTTGCACACGGGCTTGCCCTTTATCCACACTAGCTTGTAGTCCTCCTCGACGCACACGCACTTGCCGGCTTCCTCGTCATACTCCTACAGGTGGCCACACCAAGTTTAAATACAAAGCGCCTGCGGGCGCGTCTGCGCACAAGCGGGCCCAAGGGCCGACGAATCTGATTGCCATGTTGCATCTCCATGCTCGGCCTCTCAGCCACCACCGTTGAGGTGGGGCGCCCGAATGGGCACCAGTCCAGACGGGCACCATCCCACATCAAAACCAGCACTAAAATGGAAACAGCCAAACGCGGCCGTGGCCGACTTATGGCCATGGGTGTGGACGGAAGACGCCCATTTGTCTGGGAAACGTGCTCCAAGGGGCCAACAAACTCAAGTTTCCCAACGTGGCTATTGTGCCAACAAGGCCTTTCAGTGCCAAGCCGTCAAACACATGAACGCATGGACGGAGGATACATGGAAAATTCAACATCGCGCCTTCAACAGCCCATAGTCGCACACCGCCGCTCCATGCCTTGGGCCCCAACAACTCACCAATCCATGGTCGCACTTGGGATGGCAAGCGATGACCAAGCCGTAAGAGTCCTTCTTCTCTACCGCCTCGGGGTCCTTGCATTTGCACTTGCCATCCGGGCCGTGTACCTGAGGGGCGCGGGGCCCCAATGCACCAAAGTGTTAGAATTGGAGGCCGTACAGACAGATCTCCAGACACGTGAAGGGCTTTCACAAGCCTTTCGACATGCTGCCTATTGCGGGTTGGCGAGGCGCGAAAACAGCGTGCAATCTCTCATTCAGGGACTTCGGGACTCGGCTCAGGGAATTCAGAGCCCCTTGGGCCTGCGGTGGTCACACGGCGGTCGTACCGAAGGGGGAACATTGCACTCCAAAGGTGGGTAAGAAGCCCGTGTGCAATATCAACGCAGAAACCCGCCGCTTCAACACGGTGTGTGAACTTCAGATGGGTGGACCTACCAGGCCGGCTTCGTGCGCACAAGGTGGCTTGCACTGCGGCTTGCCGTTTATCCACACCAGCTTGAGATATTCGTCTTTGCACACACACGTCCCGGTGGAGGCGTGATGCACCTGGCGCGCAGAGACACACGTCGCGTGAGGTCCAAATTGCCGAGGGTTCATGCTCTATGGTGCCTCGACAAAAACTCGTAGGACATCAACGCAAGCTGGGCGAATCCGGCTCTACAATCCCAAAATGGCCAACACACAACATCTGGGGACTGGAAATCGTTCACATGCGCTCATGGCACTATACACGCCAGATACTTGGCGCAACCTGCAACAACCCAAGCGGCCAAACATCGTTGACGGCCACCCTCGCCCAACACGCCATTCTTTGGAAATTACGGCCCAACAGCCCTGGACCTTTGACAAGAGAGCTGCCACGACAATCAAGCCTGTCTTTAGTGCGAGGAAATGCCTTGCTGACGAATTGAGCGCGTGTGACGCTTTGGCATCGGGGCCGTCCACCGCGAGCGCCCGCCAAATCTCGCTCACCAATCCGTATTCCTCCATGCATGGCGGTTTGCACACGGGCTTGTACTCCTCGTCATGCTCGAGTGTTGCATGAGGATCGATGCACTCGCACTCTCCGGTGTCCGGGTGGTGCTTCTACACAGAAACGAAGCAACAACACACAATTCAGCCACTCACAAGAGGACACCGGGGCCGTAATGGAAACAAGAGGCTGTCGGCCATCCCACAGCCAATGGTCACATGTGGGGGCCAAAATCTCCTGGCCCGGGCGCCAGTGCGCACCAGCATAAACTAAAACAAAAAGTGGCGCCACAATCCCAAAAAGAGGGACGGGCGATACGGCCTTCCAAGTAGTGTGAACGTACTGCCAACGCGAAACGCATTGAAGTCGAGGTCATTCCGCTAGTGGGCCGTATTGGCGTCATTCCCTCACAAAGGTTGCCAAGCTTAGCCTACTGCTTCCGATGCCACCCACCAATCCGGCCTCCGCGTCGCAAGGCGGTTTGCACACGGGCTTGCCCTTTATCCACACTAGCTTGTAGTCCTCCTCGACGCACACGCACTTGCCGGCTTCCTCGTCATACTCCTACAGGTGGCCACACCAAGTTTAAATACAAAGCGCCTGCGGGCGCGTCTGCGCACAAGCGGGCCCAAGGGCCGACGAATCTGATTGCCATGTTGCATCTCCATGCTCGGCCTCTCAGCCACCACCGTTGAGGTGGGGCGCCCGAATGGGCACCAGTCCAGACGGGCACCATCCCACATCAAAACCAGCACTAAAATGGAAACAGCCAAACGCGGCCGTGGCCGACTTATGGCCATGGGTGTGGACGGAAGACGCCCATTTGTCTGGGAAACGTGCTCCAAGGGGCCAACAAACTCAAGTTTCCCAACGTGGCTATTGTGCCAACAAGGCCTTTCAGTGCCAAGCCGTCAAACACATGAACGCATGGACGGAGGATACATGGAAAATTCAACATCGCGCCTCCAACAGCCCATAGTCGCACACCGCCGCTCCATCCCTTGGGCCCCAACAACTCACCAATCCATGGTCGCACTTGGGATGACAAGCGATGACCAAGCCGTACGAGTCCTTCTTCTCTACCGCCTCGGGGTCCTTGCATTTGCACTTGCCATCCGGGCCGTGTACCTGAGGGGCGCGGGGCCCCAATGCACCAAAGTGTTAGAATTGGAGGCCGTACAGACAGATCTCCAGACACGTGAAGCGCTTTCACAAGCCTTTCGACATGCTGCCTATTGCGGGTTGGCGAGGCGCGAAAATAGCGTGCAATCTCTCATTCAGGGACTTCGGGACTCGGCTCAGGGAAATCAGGGCCCCTTGGGCCTGCGGTGGTCACACGGCGGTCGTACCGAAGGGGGAACATTGCACTCCAAAGGTGGGTAAGAAGCCCGTGTGCAATATCAACGCAGAAACCCGCCGCTTCAACACGATGTGTGAACTTCAGATGGGTGGACCTACCAGGCCGGCTTCGTGCGCACAAGGTGGCTTGCACTGCGGCTTGCCGTTTATCCACACCAGCTTGAGATATTCGTCTTTGCACACACACGTCCCGGTGGAGGCGTGATGCACCTGGCGCGCAGAGACACACGTCGCGTGAGGTCCAAATTGCCGAGGGTCCATGCTCTATGGTGCCTCGACAGAAACCCGTAGGACATCAACGCAAGCTGGGCGAATCCGGTTCTACAATCCCAAAATGGCCAACACACAACATCCCCAGGGACACAGGAAATCGTTTCACATGCCCTCATGGCACTATACACGCCAGATACTTGGCGCAATCCGCAACAACCCGAGCGGCCAAACATCGTTGACGGCCACCCTCGCCCAACACGCCATTCTTTGGAAATTACGGCCCAACAGCCCTGGACCTTTGACAAGAGAGCTGCCACGACAATCAAGCCTGTCTTTAGTGCGAGGAAATGCCTTGCTGACGAATTGAGCGCGTGTGACGCTTTGGCATCGGGGCCGTCCACCGCGAGCGCCCGCCAAATCTCGCTCACCAATCCGTATTCCTCCATGCATGGCGGTTTGCACACGGGCTTGTACTCCTCGTCATGCTCGAGTGTTGCATGAGGATCGATGCACTCGCACTCTCCGGTGTCCGGGTGGTGCTTCTACACAGAAACGAAGCAACAACACACAATTCAGCCACTCACAAGAGGACACCGGGGCCGTAATGGAAACAAGAGGCTGTCGGCCATCCCACAGCCAATGGTCACATGTGGGGGCCAAAATCTCCTGGCCCGGGCGCCAGTGCACCACAACAAAAACAAAAGTAAGGGCCATTTTTGGAATCCCAAAAGAGGGGACGCATGACATGGCCCAAGTAGTGTGAACGTACTGCCAACGCGAAACGCATTGAAGTCGAGGTCATTCCGCTAGTGGGCCGTATTGGCGTCATTCCCTCACAAGGGTTGCCAAGCTTAGCCTACTGCTTCCGATGCCACCCACCAATCCCGCCTCCGCGTCGCAAGGCGGTTTGCACACGGGCTTGCCCTTTATCCACACTAGCTTGTAGTCCTCCTCGACGCACACGCACTTGCCGGCTTCCTCGTCATACTCCTACAGGTGGCCACATCAAGTTTAAATACAAAGCGCCTGCGGGGGCGTCTGCACACAAGAGGGCCCAGGGGCCGACGAATCTGATTGCCATGTTGCATCTCCATGCTCGGCCTCTCAGCCACCACCGTTGAGGTGGGGCGCCCGAATGGGCACCAGTCCAGACGGGCACCATCCCACATCAAAACCAGCACTAAAATGGAAACAGCCAAACGCGGCCGTGGCCGACTTATGGCCATGGGTGTGGACGGAAGACGCCCATTTGTCTGGGAGACGTGCTCCAAGGGGCCAACAAACTCAAGTTTCCCAACGTGGCTATTGTGCCAACAAGGCCTTTCAGTGCCAAGCCGTCAAACACATGAACGCATGGACGGAGGATACATGGAAAATTCAACATCGCGCCTCCAACAGCCCATAGTCGCACACCGCCGCTCCATCCCTTGGGCCCCAACAACTCACCAATCCATGGTCGCACTTGGGATGGCAAGCGATGACCAAGCCGTACGAGTCCTTCTTCTCTACCGCCTCGGGGTCCTTGCATTTGCACTTGCCATCCGGGCCGTGTACCTGAGAGGCGCGGGGCCCCAATGCACCAAAGTGTTAGAATTGGAGGCCGTACAGACAGATCTCCAGACACGTGAGGGGTTTCCACAAGCCTTTCGACATGCTGCCTATTGCGGGTTGGCGAGGCGCAAAAAAAGCGTGCAATCTCTCATTCAGGGACTTCGGGACTCGGCTCGGGCAATTCAGAGCCCCTTGGGCCTGCGGTGGTCACACGGCGGTCGTACCAAAGGGGGGGCATTGCATTCCAAAGGTGGGTATGAAGCCCTGTGCAATATCAACGCAGAAACCCGCCGCTTCAACACGGTGTGTGAACTTCAGATGGGTGGACCTACCAGGCCGGCTTCGTGCGCACAAGGTGGCTTGCACTGCGGCTTGCCGTTTATCCACACCAGCTTGAGATATTCGTCTTTGCACACACACGTCCCGGTGGAGGCGTGATGCACCTGGCGCGCAGAGACACACGTCGCGTGAGGTCCAAATTGCCGAGGGTTCATGCTCTATGGTGCCTCGACAGAAACCCGTAGGACATCAACGCAAGCTGGGCGAATCCGGTTCTACAATCCCAAAATGGCCAACACACAACATCCCCAGGGACACAGGAAATCGTTTCACATGCGCTCATGGCACTATACACGCCAGATACTTGGCGCAACCTGCAACAACCCAAGCGGCCAAACATCGTTGACGGCCAACCTCGCCCAACACGCCATTCTTTGGAAATTACGGCCCAACAGCCCTGGACCTTTGACAAGAGAGCTGCCACGACAATTGAGCCTGTCTTTTGTGCGGGGAAATGCCTTGCTGCCGAATTGAGCGCGTGTGACGCTTTGGCATCGGGGCCGTCCACCGCGAGCGCCCGCCAAATCTCGCTCACCAATCCGTATTCCTCCATGCATGGCGGTTTGCACACGGGCTTGTACTCCTCGTCATGCTCGAGTGTTGCATGAGGATCGATGCACTCGCACTCTCCGGTGTCCGGGTGGTGCTTCTACACAGAAACGAAGCAACAACACACAATTCAGCCACTCACAAGAGGACACCGGGGCCGTAATGGAAACAAGAGGCTGTCGGCCATCCCACAGCCAATGGTCACATGTGGGGGCCAAAATCTCCTGGCCCGGGCGCCAGTGCACCACAACCAAAACAAAAGTAAGGGCCATTTTTGGAATCCCAAAAGAGGGGACGCATAAGATGGCCCAAGTAGTGTGAACGTACTGCCCACGCGAAACGCATTGAAGTCGAGGTCATTCCGCTAGTGGGCCGTATTGGCGTCATTCCCTCACAAGGGTTGCCAAGCTTAGCCTACTGCTTCCGATGCCACCCACCAATCCGGCCTCCGCGTCGCAAGGCGGTTTGCACACGGGCTTGCCATTTATCCACACTAGCTTGTAGTCCTCCTCGACGCACACGCACTTGCCGGCTTCCTCGTCATACTCCTACAGGTGGCCAC